ACAAATTTACGCTCTATTTGTAGATTATTATATCAAATTATTTATAGTTACTATGGTTGTCATTTCGGTGTGAAAGTAGAATATTGGCTCTGTTTTTTAAAGGTTGTGTGAATTTTTATCAAATATCACCGATTTATAAACGATTTCCTTTGAATTTACAATATTGAAATTGGCATTTGTAGTTATTGAAAGACATGAGGTAAAAAAATAACATAAAGAAGAAATAAATAAATTACCATTTTTCATAAAAATCTTTATATCGCCATTATAATATGTTATTTTTCAACCCCTAATAGGTTATATTAAGCTTGCCACACCCAGAAGGAAACTTCGTAAACTCAATAAAGTATACACATATATAAATGATCAGCGTGAGGATCTGACTTGATTAAGCCATGTCCTTCTGTCTGTATATATGCGAACTAGTCCCTCAGCTTTTAAGATATCGATCTGAAATCTTGCAGACGTTCTTTACTGCCCAAAAACTTGCTCATTTGCCCACTATAACATATAACTGGCATAACTAATTTGTTCCTTATTAGGTAACCTTTATTAGATTTGAAGTTTGTTCATATCAACCAACATGTGCAGAAAAAACATTGTGTAATTAAAATTTCATAAGTAACATAGTCAGTTCCTTAGTGCCATAATCATTACAAATTTTATTAAATTGTCGACTTTTTTATATATAAAATTTAAATTACTTGTACCACTGCTTATAAAATCACTTGTTTTTAAATAAGAGTTTCATTTAGTTTTGTTTGGAAAAATATCTCTAGTAATTTCTGCCAGATGTTCATTCATAAAAGTTTTACGCTGCTGCATTGCTCTTCACTTGCCACTGCTTAACTCATTTCACTCGAACAACTGATGTCACAGCACAAGTGAGCAACATCTGCGTGTACTTGGCACATAAATGTATGTATGTATGTATATATTTCTCGACACATTTGATGTTTAAATATGTGTGCGATATACTCATATTTAGTTGCTTGAGCTTTGTTAATTTCGATACATTTAATTTTATATTCTATAAATTATTTCTTAGCCTTGAAGTCACAATAAAACCAAAAAGACATAGCCTTTTGTTCAACAACATTTGCAAAAAATATAAGTTATATAAACAAAATTGAATCAAATAATGTATTTTACTGTCAACAAGATTAAACATTTTGTTTCAGACGTTTCATAATATTTATACTTATATGTGTACTTATTCAAGAAATAAACTTTTCGATGTCTTTAGCGCCGGATGTGGAAATAGTCTTTACAATACAAAATCATACATGACTTAGTAGTTAGGTTAATAGAGTCATAATATATATTCAATTGTACATATTTCGCTAAAAAAAAAAAAAACACAGAAAAGGCATTAACTATGGCTACACCGAAGCTATAATACCCACATGTGCTGTTCTTATAGCAAAAATGGGTATAAAAAGATGCTATAGTGATATGATTCGACCATTCCGACAAATGATCAGCTTCTTGAAGAGGAAATGATATCTCGCAAACTGAGGGGCTAGTTAACGTATATGCAGACATACTAAAAATATTTAGCTCGCAATGCCGATAACTTATATACTCGTATATATTTATGTACTTCATAGGGTCTCCGACGATTCCTTCTGTTAAGAACTTGGTGACAAACTCTGCGCATGGTATAGAAATAATAATAAATAATTATAACTTATTTCGTATTCTATGTCAAAGTCATGTCATAATTATGTCCTTAGTACTGTCATACCCATTTTCAAAACGGATTATCCTGAAGACCTAAAAGCTTAGTCCCTAAGTTACTAATTATTTTGAATATTGCTGCATTTTATTTTTTACGAGTGACTTCCACTCTGTCAAATACATTGGCAGTCATAACTAAACAAACGAGAGCGTATTCAATTTCAATTTTATATAATCTATGATAACAGTTCTCGAGACAAATTGGCACTGAAACACTGAACTGAGCTGAAAAAGTGAAGTTTGTGTTCGAAATATCACAGTTAATACTGACAGCTTGCTGAAACCGCTTAACGCAGTCCACACAATTTTTCTCAAACACTCTAAAACTGGTTAATCGGTTTTTAGTAGTACTGTAAACAAAAAGTTATATTTTATTTACTAAGGCATGTTTTTTTTTTATTTTATTACAATTGTATTACTTACTCCTGTTTTTTTCACCCAAATGATTCTCTTTGACACGTCAAATTGCATATGCATTTGACAGTACGTAGGCCACATTGCACAAAAAAAATATATATATAATAAAAATCGAGAAAATCAAAGGTTTATCATAAAATTGAATTGCGTAAAAAATGCTTGTTTGTATGTTCGTGTATTGCCGGTGTATAAAACAACTTGTTTACTTGCCACCTGTCTGCTATGAAACGTCTGCTCGATTTGTCTGACAATTTGCTCAAAAGGAATATAAAATAAAATTGAAGGTAAATAAGGTAATAATAATAATAATAACAACATGTTGCAACAGTATAAAAATAAATGAAGCGTAGCAGACCGACATGTGTCCATCAGTCGGAGCAGAGGTTGTGCTCAGTAAATATATGTATTTGCAGGATTTTGCTTGGCTATAAATAGCAATTGTCGGGACGTGTTCGCCAAATTGAGCAAAATTTGTGGGTTTTATTTGAGTGAATTTTGAAATTTTAAAATTTATTTTTAGTATTTTTCACACAAAAAAATATTACTCAAAGAAATTTTGTTCAAAGCAACAAGCAGCAAATATTATGTTTGAAAAGTTCTAAAGTATCTTTCCACGAAAAATGTTTGTTGCTTATAAGTATAATAAAAATTAGTTTTAAAATGTAAAAAATTGCCTTAATAGCTGCTTTATTATACTTTGGGGTAGTGTACAACTCAATCTATTCGACATTAAAATTATCAGATAGCTATTGAGACGTATCATTGCTGGTGATATAGACTGAATCGTTCCTAAATATTTTTGATGTTTTATCGGGCATAAATGTCACTGACAGCTTTTTCTCATTCTGTGTGAACTTATTTCAGACAATCAACCTGATGAATGTTATACTTTGCGCAAATGAAGCTACTTTCTTCGAAACTTATCTGCACTTCCTTTAGACCCCATCTACATAATATAAAGATTTTCGAATTACCTATCTTAATAAAATTGAGTGTGCGTGTCTTTCTAATAATGGTGAATCTTTGTGCCTAAAATGGATGAAATCGGCTAAAAACTTGTTCAAACCTCTATGTAACTGATATTTCGCATTTTCAAACATTCGGTTGACTTTACTCCTTATATATGTATTGGTGATGATAAGTGAGGTACCTTAATGCAACTCAGAGAGCATCGTTGTTTGTTAATAATATGTCGTAAAGCTTAAAATAGATTAATTCAGGTCATTACTACCTCTATTTCCCATATACGTAATACGTAACACAAGTTGCAAGAATATAAAGTAATCAAATAATAGAATCAAACTTAGCCCTTCCTTACTTGTTTTTTTTTTATTATACACATGATCATCTAAGTAATATACATGTGTCTTATTTAATACATTTCACATTCAGCTAAGTAACTTTAAGTTTATTGATTTACTATATTCCCTAAATAACCCTTAAAGTTCTTTAAGCGGAGACTTTCAAAATTAAATAAGCAATTTGTGTAATAACTTTATACGTCCTTGAAGATACCATCTCTATTGGAAGAAAACAAGAAGAAGAAAAGTAAACACAGTTACTAATATCAAGTCCAGATGGCTAGCTTGATTTAAGCCACTCAAGTATTCCTTTCCGGTTGTCACCAAACACATCAGTAATCTAATAAATTGTGCATAAACACTGGGTAAATCGTCATTTAGTGGGACCGCTGTAGATATACGAGCGCGTGGGTGTTCCTAATTTACATATAAACACACATACACACATAGATTTAGCTATAACAGTTATACAGCTAACCCATGGGGACCGAACACAAGCGAACCGAACGAGTTGGAAGAGCGAGGGGCGGATGCAATCAAGCGAGCAGCAGGTGTCATTTGCATTTTTCATGAGATTTGCTCTGTGATTGAATGAGACGTAAAAGTGTTGAGAACTTAACACCGGTATGGCGTGAAAGAGCCAAAAAGGATTTAAAAGAGTTTTGTAAAATAAAAACGGCAACAGCAACAATTTAAGCGCGTGCTAATAGCATTCTAATGGAGGTATGGAACTATATCAGCTTGTTGTTGTTGTTGTTGTTGACGTTGTAGGGCCCCAGGAATATATAAAAAAATATACACGCGTATTTTAACCCTCCACAGCAGGATTCAATATTATTTTCGCACGGTTGCCCTTTTGCTTGGCAGCAGTGGTGTTTTAGCTTCCACTTACTCCTCTCCACCTCCATTCGCTTTAGAAACAGCAGGTGGGCTGGCTAGCAGCGCTCCAACGTTCACAACGCTTACTGCAGCGGAAATTTATGCCAGTGCAATTTATGTGTGCATTAGCTCGTGCGTATTTATATGTGTGCGTATGTGTGTGTGTGTATTTGAATATCCTTGCACCTGCATAGCGTTGGCATTGAGTCGGTGTTTACTACTGTTAGCTAATGAAATTTTTCCTACACATTTTCGCTTTTCAATTTCTATGGCTGCGTAAGCATTTCTCCTATATAACTGCGTAAGTAACTGTTATACATACGATATATGCATGTGTGTTGGTTAGAGTAACACACTTGCAAAGTACTCGACCCCTTTTAACGAAATTGTTGCCAGTTTTTAGTTTGTTTGCCTTTTCAAACATACACACATTCGCAGCAACACCTATTATATGAATAAAACCACACACATATATATATATATATAAACATACATACTATATATGAATATATATCATAAATTATTATATATATACAAAGTTTCATATGCTTTGCACAAATATTAACATTAATTTTGAAAATGAGAAAATGCGCTTAACTAATTTCACTTGTTTGCCTTTAATTGCTGACGTGTTTGGGTGTGTGTATTTTCTACTCATTACAGCACTCAAAATATTTATACGTCGCTTAGCCAGAGTAGCAACATTGGCTATACGACGGGTTTGGCGAGCAACAGCATCGAACTGAGCACCATAAAACTAGTGGCTGCGCGTTCATTGAGCAAAAACGTAAGTACATAAATATATTACCATGAATATTTATGAACAGAAGTAATTTATATTTACTTAAAAGACTTAGTAAAAATATTTAAAAGTCATAAATAATATTTCTGTATTACTTAATTAGTTGTAATTTACATTTAAAGCATAGTGATAACGAATTAAACTAATGACTAATGTCAAAATTGTACCGCTATGTTCACTTAATGCATTTATAAAATTAGAAAATTTGGATTTAAATCACGCTTACCTTACCTCGAACGCCATTTACTGTACCATCAGTACAAATTTGACCAAGACTGACAAAAAAAAATTAAATGTTCTGGTATTTTAATATATTATCGCTTTCTATATAAGTCCCTGTGTCAATACGAGCAATCCAATCCAATTTTCCATACATTTATTATAAGCCTTAGCTAGGATGGCCCTTCAGTGCTAGGACCAGCGCTTGTTAAGCTCACGCGAAATCCTAAGGCCCAGCGCTAAAACGCAAGAGGACAACGGATACTCCTAGACATGTGAGTTTTACTGAAAGAGCAGGCTTAAAGCATCCTTTTTGGTTCCCTCAAGCAATATTAATGGATTGCAATTGAAAAAAAAATGTTCATTTTCTAATTAAAAAAAAACTGTATCGCTTGAGCTGAAAGAGTACACATGCAGATATACATATGTGCCATAGAATATAATGTAAAATGGCAGCAAATCTCAAAATATTCTCAGCTGGCTGCATCATTGACCGCACAAGCATCATCTAGAGTCTGGCTTTTGTCATATTTTTTTCTGGACATTTCTCCATTTATCCTTCATGCGCTTGCATGTACTTGTATTAGTGTGTATAAGCTTTCCTATTCATATAATAAGGCCAAGTACACAGGCAAGTAATTGCTCGTTATAATGTTCAAAGTGAGTATGTAAGGAGCAGGCAGAACAGCCAAGAGAGAACACAGGCACCATCGAATTAAATTGGTAATTTCAAACTACTCCCACTACAACTAGTATATTGCATAGAGGAATTCAAAGTGAAGCACAAAACAAGACGAGTATATTTGCACTCACACAACAATGGCGAGATCGAGAGAAGTCGCACTGCCAGAGCTCAGTTGCGTTTCTGCTTGATTGTGGCACATATATATATATATATAGTACAATACATGAGTTTATGTGTTTGTAGGCGCAATTGAGTTCGAAAATGGATAAGATATTCTCTTTGAAATGCTAATTGTTCGCAATTATGCTTTATGTTAATGCGTTTGAAAATTGAGTTTCTCCGTTCGATAGTCGTAAATAATTGAAATAAAGATGGAAAATTAATGCTCCCATCAGTATTGGCATTGAGCAAATGAAAGGGATTAAATGGGAAGGATGAGAGGTGATTGTGGTGGAATATTGTTGGAAGTGCTGGCTGTGCAAAAGAGCTTTTGTGGCTTCCGAAGGTGGTGATTTGGTGCCTTGAATTGATTAAACTGATATTTTTCTTAATTAGATTATTTGATAATGAATTTTTCCGATTTACTAGCGTTTTTAGTTATTACTGCGTAAATGTTTAAATTTTCACCTTGAAGACCTTATATTTATCGGTTAATTTTTATATCCTCTATAAACTATTAAAAATATTGTTTACAAACTTGAACTCAGTAGCCAAACTTTATATGTAAGTATATTTGTATGTTACCTTCCAATTAGGAGACCATTTGGCTGATTTTCATAAACTGTACGAGTATTTACCTCAATTGGTCAGTGACATATGTAGGTCTAAAGGTGGTTTCGGAAAATTGCCACATAGGTATAGGGTTAGGAAAAAATAGTATGAAATGAGTTTCAAGTGGAAATTGGTTCAGAAAACTCTGTTTAAGACTTGATAAGGGCTAGTGTTGCCGTTTATAAAAAATAGAAAAACTGGCCAAACTTTTATGAAAAGTGTGCTAACAAGAAGGCACTTTCAAAAGTTTTGGAAAATCTGCAATTTGGACATATATGTACATATATAGTAACGCGTTGCCACCTAATGAGAATAGTAATATTGAGAAAAATTTAATAAAAAGTATGCCAACCAGGTGACACTTTGAAAGTAAATAATTTCAAGATTTAGATAGAGGGTTGCCACCTATTGTGAATATTATTTCTAAACCAAATATTATAAAGGTGTGATAATTGCAAGGTAATTAAAAGTGTATTAACCAGTAGACATTTTGGAGAGTTTGAGCAAGTTGTTATATTAAAGATATTTTGATTTTGAGTTGCCACCACTCTGAAATGGTAGTACCTGACAAAATATATTGAAAGTATGTCTACAGTCTGGTATTGTGAAATTATTTGTGAAGTCTACGTTTAAAATATTTTTGGGAAAGTGTAATCGGTATTGTGCTATAGTGTTGCCAACTATCTCAAGTATGCAAAGTATGTTTATGGTAGGGATATTTAGTTATGCTATAAAAAATAGCGAAACTGGGTAAACTATATCAATTATATTGCATTTTGGAAAGCATTTGAAACGTATATTTTCCAGCGATTTATTGGTGAGTTACCAGCTCTCAACTTTTATTTTATTTTTTAAAATTATACTAATTTTTAACAGGGTTGCCTTCTAGCTCATACAGTAAAGACCCCGCAAAATATATTGAAAGTATGCTTATGGCAAGGTATTTCGAAATTGAAAATAAGTTTAAAAGTATTGAATTGCCAGTTAACAAAAATAGCAGAATTGGGCGAAATATGCCAACCTTGATGCATATTAGAAAGTCTTTTTTTCAGAAATATACTAAAGAGTTGCCATCTTTGAATTTTTCCTTCAATTTAGACATATTTTTGAATAGAGTTGCCACCTATATAAAAATTAAAAATAAAAGTATTACGAAATGTTGGCAAGTATAAAGGGTTTGAGATACCCATTTGAACTTATAAAATTTATAATAAAATTTTTTACAACCAATTCGGCTATGCCACTGTGAAGTGAGTTCATTTCAAAGTCAGTTTGTTGCCATTCCCGCTGATAATGACACAACATTTCTTGAAAAACACAAGTTGCTTTGAAGCACAAAAATAAAACAGTAAACAATAAAGAAATACACAAAAATATTGACCAAAAGCTGGGAGGCTGACACGCTGCTGTCAATGGGAAACGCGCATTAATCAAACAAACGCGAAATAAATATTTTTCAAAAGTGCAGGGAAATCCATTAAGGCAGCACCACTTTGAGGCTGCATTCGAAGAATAAAACAAAATAAAATTTTTTTTATTTTTATTGCAAAATTACAAACGTACTACATACATATATGTTATACAGACAGTGCACATTTGAAAAGTGAAAATCTCAAAGTAAACAATTTTTGAATGGCAAGGTTGCCATACGGCGTGTGTAAATACAAAATGCCGTTATGCACTTGAACTTTATTACACACACACAGGTACTTTGTACTTGCTTACAAAGCGATTTTGGGGGCAGAAGGAAACAACGGTAAAAGTAATGCAGCATTGCCGTGTGCCGCACTCCACCCCTCGGCGGTTGTGGGCTGTGGGCTGCGGACAGTAAAAAAATCAAATTCGTTCGAGTCGTAAATTTTGATGAATGTTCTGACCATTTAGTCTATTCTGCCGTAAAATTTTTGTTATTTCTATGCGCTCATAAATCAATGAATTCTAATGCGATTTTCGGATATTTGCACTCTATTTACTTTGGCGCTGTGTACTCAGCGCTCGGCTGATTGAGTGAGTAATCGTTGGCTGCTGTCTGAAGTTTTCAAATTACAGCAATTTTTAATAAGTGCCTCATTCAATCTAATCAAAATATTGTAAATATGTGTGTGTTTTTAGATTATTTTCAGGCTGCGAATCAGAACGTGTAAGTAATTATTTCTCTTAAACTTTTGCTATACAAAAATAGACGTTTATTAAGTATATATTTTTCCGAGTCTGAGTGGTAGATTGCTTCAAAATATTTTTAGAGCTATAATTATAATTACTCATCAACATAGATGTATAATAATTTGCTGGCCACTTGTATGCCCTTCCCAATTTTTTTCCCTGAATAACTTTTTCGCCTTCCCGTTGTATTTACGAGCATTTAGATGAAAATATATTGAGTCAAGTTCTCAAGAGCTTCAAATGTTTGTATGACTTTGTCATTATTATTTTATTTTTTTTTTTGTGTAGTTTATTCTGCATGTTTTTGATGTTTTTCTTACCCAGTCATGCTTAAACACTTATAGATATTTGTTTGTAAACATATGTAAGTGGCTGCATATGCTTTCAAATGAAAATAAACACTTGGTGTTGTGACATTGCCTTGGCATTAATTAAATAGTCTTTGCTACTTTTGGCAACGGAAATGAAAATGCAAATGAAAATAAACATTGTAATGTAAATAGTGCGTGCTTCCTCTGAATGATCAGTACCACAATATTTATATTGTGCTGTTGTCAATGATGTGAGAAAATGAGAAAACATAATTTTGTTGAGCAACTAAATGAGATCAGCTAAAATTAAAACAGAAAACAATTTGAAAATTTGAATGTCTTTATCTAGAGATATAAATTTGCCAGCTGTCAACTTAACGAGAAATATATATATACAAAAAAAAAATATGTGTATATACAAAAAAATGTCCTTTAATCCTAGATTCCAAACTGGTTTACCGTTAGCATACTATTTGAGAGAGGTGGAAACTCTATACTTAACGTTTTTGCTAATTTAGTTAAAACTTTAGCTTAGTTAGAGTATCTGAAAATATTTATACTAAAATGGGAAATTTTTTCTCAAAAATGTTTTAAAAAAGGTTTAAAAATAACTAGGAACGATTTTGAAATGTTTTTTTTTTTAATATTCCCGCAACATGTTGTTTTTTTCTATTTAATTTGATAGATTTTCAATAACAAGAAGAAATTTAATACTGTTTAGTATATTATTTGTGGTTTTTTTTAGGTATTTGGAACTGAATGTTGAGTGGCAACTCTATTTATATTTACATACTGCATTATCTTCCAGATGCATCTATTCTCAGGCAGTTAAAATT